GACCAGCTCAAATCCCAAAGCTGAAAGAGTCCGTTCTTTGTTGCGGATATGACATCCATATGGCCCTTTGACTGCGAAGTGCGGGCCTTGACTGAGGCAATGGTTTTGCGAATCGATCCTCCCAATAGGCCCTTGAGGCTGAAGAAGCTGCCACCCGAACTATTGGGCGCGCTCAGAACGGTGGTTACAACATTGGGTCTGCCTTGTGAGTCGCGCAGGGTAAGTTGAGCCAACCTGCCGCTGCTAAAGACCAGGACATAGCCGGCATGCTCGACGTCTACCAGGTCGGTTATGGTTTCCCCAGAGTATAGCTTGACGAAGCCCTCCACTCCTTGTTGGCGCTGGGGATAGAGGCTTCGGGTATCGGCGCTGTCGATGCTCTCCCAGAAACTAATTTTGCCTGTTGAAGGCGCGAGTGCGACGACACCGAAGTCGTTCGTAGGGCCGTTGCGGACGATGGCACCTAATGGCAGAGGCTCAGGTAGTCTTAGACCAAAGCTCAGACTTAAGGAGACGACCTTTGTAGGGCCGTTCGGGTTGCTATAGTCCCAGACGAGGGCTCGATCCGAAGTCAGGGCGAGCGCGAGACCGGCTGAGGGGAGTGCGGTTGCATATATGGGGGCTGGTGATATCAGTTAGCAAGCGCGCGTCGGACGGTGTGAGGCTGCGGCATACTCGAAGGGCGGAGAAGCGCTGACGGAAAGCCGGGGAGTTTCTTTACGCTGTAGTTTGCGTTTTTTGTCTATAACGTATTTTGTCAGTGATGGCCAATGTCTGGGCTACTCTGTAGACTCACAAGATATGAGCCAGCCTCTTCTTTGGGCGCGCGCTGCTTTGGTGCTGTCTTCTTCTCGCGGACGGGCATGTCAACCAGAACGACGGAATTCTCGACGCTCTGAACTGCATGACCATTAATCTGAACGCTCCCATTTCCATTCATGTGCGCGCCGGCTGGGTCCTTGAAGGCCTCATCGTTGAGCTTACTGCGCTTCCGGCTCCGTTGCTGCTGGGGGCCGTCCGAGTCCTTGCGCTGGCGGCGTCGGGGATTGCGCAGGGAGCTGCGCGCGCTCTGAATCGAAGCCTCTGGCGAAAACATGATGGACGGTGTGTTTTGAGGTGGTTTAGAACGCGAAAGAGCGCGCCGGTGATGGTGTTGGCTCTTCGCTTGGGTTGTTGGTGATTGACAACTAAGAATGCGTCTGTTTTGGAAGCTTTGGTGACAGGGATCCGATCAACGCTAGGACACGGAGTTAAACAACGTGCTCTGCAAACGGATCTCGTACCCTGAGGCCAACCTTTCACAAACGTGGCGCATCAGAATTGGCTATCTAACGATTTCTTGCACATGCATGCATGCATGCTGCTGCGCCCTCAAACCTGTGCGCTTTCATCTACCCATCCATGCACTATATGCTCTCGTTGCACTGCAAGTACAAGCCCAAAAGGATCCCCAGGTACCGTCAAACTCTGAACGCAACTGGCGCTTCCTGCGTGTCCCACCGGCTCAAATGTGGTTCTTGACCAGAGAAAAAACCAAGCACAAACACAAACACAAACACAAACACAAACCTTCAGATTGGCTGTTGTTTCATCACGCCAGGCAACGGAAAGCGGGTTTTGAAGATTCGTTTCTCATTTCTCATAAAGTTACTTATTACAATTTATGTCAGGTACATGAAGTGAAGGCTTTGCATCGCAGCTGTCGACGTAGTAAATAAAACGACATGCTCCACACTGTACAGATGGTCCCAAAGACCCGACGGCAGTCACCAGGCAATGGCTTCCCACGAATCAACTAGCCAGTCGAACCGCAGCCATACCGATACCACTCACGTCGTTTGTGCTTGCAGCAACTAGAACTTTTTGCCATGGTCCTCCTCAGCAATGCTGTTCTCGGTAGAGGTGGTGCTCTGCTTCTCGAGCTCCTCGCCCATTGGGCCGTGGATTGATTCTTCGAAGACGGGCTCAGTCTCGATAGTCTCGAATTTGGTCTTGAAGTCCTTTAAGTTATGGGTCGATGAGTTACTTCGACGGCGAGCATTGGCCATATTAGGCCTGATGTCTTCGACTTCGTCGCCCATGGCACCCCTGCATGTACTGTCAGCCTACTATGTCTTGAGGGCGAAAGGAGGCATGTGATGAACAGCAGGTAGCGCTGCAATAGATTCGTCGGGTCTTTCGGAACATTTGCTGAGGATGGGCAGGAGGGTGTAAGACTTACCAATTGCCTTTGCCGCTGCCGCCCTTCTTTGTTTTGGTTGGGTCAGTGTCGGCATGACCGGATTTGGCAAAGTACTTGGGAAGACGTGCTTCGCGCTCGGCAGTGCCATCGGCAATGCCAGCGTGGTCACGGTCAGTGTACTTGTGGGAGCGAGTCACTAGGTTTAACGGTCAGCATCTGGCGTGGAATTGTATACTACTCGCATTGAGGGCGAGCCATGGATGACGTTATGAGCTTGAGTGAATCCAGCGACAAGTAGATACCAGCGTGGAGTAGATATCAGCGAGTGATATAACGACAAGAGACACTTACTTGTTAGTGTGTAATTGGTGGAGTAAAGTGTGTGTAAGTGTATAATGTGAGAAGGTTGATACGGGAAGGTCGATGTGAGAAGAAGGTTGATGTGAGGGTGGTGTCGAGCTGAAGTAGATGAGAACGGAGCTCGGGATTACTCCAAGCGTGCTTAAACGTACTCTGGAGCAGCGGGTCAGTACATGGTCTCGTGATAGGAGCTTTGGCCCGATGGCGTCTTCTTGCGTAGTAAAGCAGCACAACCGGTTTGCGTACCTTGCAGATCTGACTGGAGTTGGGTTGAGTCACAGCAGAGATGAGCACAAGAGCAATGGCGCGAGTTGAGGAGGGGAAGAAGAGCGTTGATCCGGTCAAGACTTAGGGCAGGCGTAGTGTACCTCACGCGTATAGTTCTCAGAGCGGGGAAGCTGGCAACAGCACCCGGTGCTCCCTTTATATGGGAAGGCACCTACACCACCACGGGGCCTTGTTGGTGCCATTATCTAGAAGGTTCGCTTGCAAGGACCTGATGCTGGCTATTGCAATGTGTAGCGCTGTAGAAGGTAAAGTTGAGGCCAGCGTGGTTTTATCAATCGGATCTTCGGTCCCTGAGCTCTGTGAGGAAAGCAACTGGGGGAGGAGGGGAGCTGGGTACGTCACTTGGTACCTGGCGCATGCTGGTCGCGTGCTTAGAGCAAGAGATCCGAGACGAAATGCTGACAACACCGGCCCAGACTGGTTCAATTCATCAGCCCAGCCATACCTGGGTACTTGTATATATCCAGTGTGCACACAAAGCCCTCGGATTGCGCAGTATCCAAAGTTACTTGGCTCACAACCTCGAGCGCGCAGCGTTCTCTACCCCGGATTCCACAAGTACCTCATGAGCGCTAATGCACCAGCCCCACATAGGCCGGCCAAAGTCATGCGCCGTGCCTCAGTGGCCCCGGCATCACGTGAGGGTCAGCTCGTTTCCGCCCTCGCCATCGGCCCTGGGTCGTATGACCAATCGCCGCGGATTTGTTGCTTGCATCAGCACGCCTCCGAGGCCGCAGACTATCTTGACAAAAGTTTCCCGGCCACGCCTTGGTACATCCACTGTTTTTTTCCTCAAATTTCTGCTTCTCTTTCGCAAGACCTCTTGCTTTTACATTGCATTTTGCGACACAAATTTGCCCCTCCATCCGCACACACACGACGCCACTGTGCCCCGCCATGGCCCCGCGATGCTTACTTATCGGTACGCCGTCCATCGCAGCGCATCCTGAGCAACTTGATAAGGTCTACGAAATCCATGACCGCAAATCAACAGACTTGCAGATGCTGGACCGCATAGCGGCCGGTCTCGTCAATCTGCCCGCCTCTACGTACGATGTTGTCCTTCTCCTTGCCGACGCCGACGGTACAACTCGCGAGAGTCACAAACTGCTAGCACGCGATGTCATGAACAAAGTGGTGGGCGCATTGAAGGTTGGAGGAGTGCTCAAGAGCCAGGCTGGTCCTCTCCAAGGCTCTGAGAAAACAGAGGCTATCCTTGCTGGACTCACGGAAACGGCAGATGGCATGACAAAGCCAGAGCAAGAAGAGGCTGTGTCGATACCGCTCAAGTTTGGCAAGAAGAAGACAGGCGCCGTCAATGGAACAAATGGTACAAATGGTACAAATGGCACGGTCAATCCAGACGGTTCTGTCCCGCTCAACCTCAATGGCAAGCGCAACCAAACCGAACCAGCCAAGCCAAACGGCGTAGGTTTCGTGGACTTTAGCGATGATCTTGACGACCCAATCATTACTGGAGAAGACGACGATTTGATCGACGAAGACGAATTCATCACTGAAGCAGACATGGCCCGGCCTGTCATTCAACGTATGTCCCCAATCCTCTCAATTCGGTTTCTTCAGACTAACAAATTACAGCACCTGAATGCCAGCCCAAGCCAGGAAAGAGACGACGCGCTTGCAAAGATTGCACTTGCGGTATGAAGGAAAAACTCGAAGCTGAAGACGCTGCCAGACGCGCCTCCGCTGACAAGGCTTTGAACGCATTCAAACTGGATGCCGATGATCTCGCTGAGGTGGACTTTACAGTACAGGGAAAGGTGGGCAGCTGCGGGAACTGCGCGCTGGGAGACGCCTTTAGGTGTGATGGATGTCCGTACATCGGACTACCGGCATTCAAGCCTGGTGAGGAGGTGCGGTTGTTGAACAATGATATCCAGTTGTAGGTGTATGTTTGGGCGGAGTTGCATTGTGTATGGCGTATTGGTTGCAAATAGGGTGACATAGATATGGGGCCACTTGGTAATTGGCGTACTAGGTCTGAACTTTGCTCAGATTGATGAGGCGATCAAGGAAGCATGACTATCCCGTAGAAGTCCACTCATGAATTCCATGGTATGGCTCTTTGTATTCCCGCCAAGCCACAATGGGTGTGAGCTGGAACAACTACCGTCATCCAGGGGCTGTATCAAGACCCTAGACAGCGCCCTCATTCCCCAATTGTCAACTCCAACTTCAAAGCCGTACGCCCAGGACCGTAGTAATCAGGTCGGCGCTCAGACTGCTCAAAGCCACATGACGCATACAATGCTCTTGCAGACTGTCTACTCTCATCGACCCACAAAAACACCGTCTGACACCCTCCTCTTTCCATCTGATAGTGAAACATGCGAATCAGCGCCTTGCCTACGCCCTTTTGCCTCTCTTGCTCAACAACACAAAGTTTGTGTAGCCACGCCAGCCTCTTCATCCGCTGATACACGAGATAAGCGATCAATCTTTCGTCATCGTCTTCCTTGAATACCAGTAGCAAGCCCGTGTTCTTTTTCTTCAGCTCAACGTCGTAGTTGAAATGCTCTATTGCGGGGAAGATTTTCTTTTCGAGTTTGGCTACCTTGTCGGCGATGGCTGGGCGGAGTTTTGGCAGGAAGGAAGAAAATTCTTTTATTGTGAAGCCGGGTGGGACTTCTGGTCCTGTATTTGTTGCGACCATCATGTGTGGTGAATGCTCGGGTTAAGCAATGCTGATCTTGCAGGCTTAAAATTCGAATATTGGTGTGGTGAGCTGGGCCTTCAAGTTTTCCGCGTACTCTTTCATATATCCATTTTTGATTTAATGCCTTGCTGTCAAATACCGTAATTTTGTTCTATGGAAGTGAAGTATGGTGGTGACTGACTACAAATGCTACGAGTTATAGTCAAAGTGGGACGCACGTGCTAGCGCGTCACACTTTTGAGGCGGACGCGTCCTATCGATTAACACTCCATAACGCTTTCCCCAACTTGATCCGTGTAACTCAACATGCAACTTTGTCTGTTGCTGAAGCCGCCGTTATACCCCACAATACTGCGGTGATTCGGCATATTCATCGTGCAGAGTTTTCTCACCAAAATCCTGATATAATACTAGGTATAGTGCCGGGATCATGACTGGTCCAAGGAAGCGGCCGTACTCAAACATAGACTTTACGTTGAGAAAGGTCTTCAAGAAAGCTGCATTCAGGTAAGTGGCATGATTCATTGCTAAGATTATCACGCTAATTATTGGCTTAGACCACCACAGCGTGAAGTCGTTCTGGCCACATTAGAAGGTCAAGATGTCTTCGTCCAGGCAGCGACTTCATTCGGAAAGAGCCTGTGCTACCAACTTCCAGCAGTTGTGGACTTTGGCAGTATGTGAGCAGCCTGATGTGAAAGAGTGCCTGCACTGATGAACCAAGTTACCATTGTCATATCTCCACTTCTAGCACTCATGGTACGTTACCTAATGTTCACTTGCATGGAGCCATCTCACTGGGAAATAGAACAACCAAGTCGCTTCTTTGCGCAACGCCAATATCCGCGTCGAAACAATCAACAGCACGACACCCCCTGAGGACAGAAAAAGAATCCTGACAGACCTCCAATGCGGCCACCCACTCACTCGGCTACTCTATGTCACTCCGGAATTCTGTCAAGGTGATCACTTCCGTAAAATTCTGCGAGTCATCCATTCCCAGCGCGAACTGGCCCGCATCGCCGTCGATGAAGCCCACTGTGTCAGCGAATGGGGTCACGACTTTCGTCCATCTTTCCAGCAACTTTCTTTCTTCAAGACAGAATTTCCTGATGTTCCAGTGATTTGTTTGACTGCCACAGCCACAGCACGCGTAAGAGACGATATCATCAATACGTTAGCACTGGACCCAAAGAAACTAGCCATGTTCCGCATGAGCAGCAGCCGGCCAAACCTGCACTACGAAGTACGCTTCAAATCCGACGAAGAAGACCATTATGACGACTTTCTTTCCATGCTCAAAGGGATATACGCTCGACGTGCTGAGAGACCCGAGCGCGTTACTCAACTTGCCTCACAAAACCAGCGCACAGACAACGTCCCAGGCATCATCTACACACTATTCCGCAAAGATTGCGAGTCCCTCGCCGAACGCCTCCGTTCTGACGGCATCGGTGCGAAACCGTACCACGCTGGTCTCTCCGTCTCTGAACGCGCAGACGCCCTATCAGGCTGGATCGCTAACAAGCTCGGCTACGACATCATTGTCGCTACCACCGCATTCGGCATGGGAATCGACAAGGAAAATGTCCGCTTCGTAGTCCACTGGCAGATCCCAAAGTCATTTGAAGGCTTTTACCAAGAAGCTGGCCGAGCAGGTCGCGACGGTAAGGCCTCGCTTTGTATCTTGTACTACGGCCGCGAAGACCGCGATCGCGCTGCCAACATGATGGCGCGAGATATGGCACGCCAACCCTCAAAAAGCGGCGGGCCAGATTCCCAGCAGCAACAACTTATGAATCGTGCAAGGAGCTTGCAAGCGCTCGTGGGGTACTGCGAGGCTACAGATAAATGTCGCCATAAGATTATTGCAAAGTATTTTGCCGACGAGGCGCCTGCGCCGTGTGATTTTGCGTGCGACTGGTGCAAGGATGCTGAGGCGCTAGTTAGAAGGAAGGAGAGGGGGCTGGCGAGTGAGGAGTGGTGTAGTACGCAGAGGGCTGAGGGGAGGTATGATGTCGATGAGTATGAGTAATGGGTCCACGGTGTGCTTTCGGAACTCAGATATACCAATGTACGAACGCATGTCATATACGCACACGGCTAGTTTTTCCACACGATTGAACAGAGATTGGTAAATGTTGAGCACGTTCTCGTCATTCATAACTCATCAGTGTGTTTTTTTTGCTGGCCGTTCCGCTACAGACTATCTGATCAAACCTACTCGATACCTCATTCTCCAAGGGTATCTACCGTGAATCTCGCATCACCAACGCCATCTTCCCATGCCTTCTTGTACATAATCATCGCTACATCAGTCCCAGAGAATCGCAGTGTCCCTCTCGACCGTTGCTGAAACTTATCCGACAATCAAGGCCGCGCTCGGTATCATGCCAGCCTCCTTGAGCGTCATGCCAAAGTCAGTCTTGTCATACGTCTTCTTGGGGAAGTTGGTGGTAAACGTATTGACACTCAGGCCATCCTGTTCCAGCGCGTGTGCTACCTCGAAGAGCGTCGTCTCTACCGGGAACGTCTTCATGACCCTTCCGCTGGGTGTCTGGAGCGCCAACCGAGCCTCAGTGTATGCGCTTGCAGGCTTGCTTGTCGAAGGACCAGAAGATGTCGCGAGAGGAGCTTGTGCGGCTGGAGCAGGGGGAGCCTGACCGGCACGCTTTGCCTTTTCCTCCTCGGCCTTGCGCTTACGTTCCTGTTTGTCTGCCTCGAGTTTTGCCAGCACGCGCTTCCTTGCCTCCTCGTCTGCCTTCTTCTCTGCACGCTTAGCAGCAGCCTCCTTCAGACGCTCCTTCTTTTGTAACTCCTCCCTGATATCCTGCGACTCCTTTGTGGCCTTCATGCGAATCTGCTCGTTTCTCTTCTGGTCCTCCTTGTCCTGCTCTGACATCTTTGCGCGCTTCGCCGCCAACTTCTCCCGTAGCTCCTGTAGCCGCTGCTTCTTTTCTTCTTCTGTGAGGGGTGCGATTTCTTCGGTCGACTCGCTGAACTGCTCGTGGCCTGTCTTTTCGCCGTGGAATTGAGCTTGGTTGACTGATCGGAACTTTTTGCCGCACTCATCGCACACGAGTGATTTTGCTTCTTCTCCGGGCTGGAGGGCTGGGGGTTCGTCTGAAGCTCCGGCAGCAGAGCTGGCTTGCGCTTGCTTGATCTCGTCAATGGACTTGTCCTGGTTGGTCTCGAGCCAGTCGATGGCGGACTGAAGGCCTCCAGAGACTTTGACGGCGAGCTCGGCACGCTCGCGATCAAAGCCCATATCGACGAGAGTATCTAGATCGGATGAGGCCATGATGGTTGTGGCGTTGTAGTCCGAACCAAGTGAGTGAAACGCTCTGGACAATTATCTGTTCAGGAAGGTACACGTATGTCTATTGTAAAGCTAGGCTTGTCAGTCGATGAGTAGGGCGGGTTGAACTTGTTGTTGTATTGGTAATAGAGGGTTCCACTAGGGCGGTGTTATATAACGTACATGGTGCAGGCAGTAGCGGGGAATGGAACGGAACCTTGGAGAAGGTGGACCGTTGATCTGCTGGACAAATGCCTGGAATAAGCAATACCGACTATCTTCACTTTCACTTCAAAAGCGTATGTACTCCCCGCCGCAGCCTAGACTGTATGAATACCGGTAGTTGGACAGTTAGCTGTCGAGGCCACTAAAGCGCTTCCTGAGCCAAAAGCGTCACTGGCGCGACTGCCTCCACGGCAGCCCTGAAGCAACGTCATCGTCTCCTTCTTCCTGACCTCACTCTGCCACCCGCAACCACCAACGACACCCGATACAGACATTCAGTGCCAGCGCGTTTGTCTGTTGATTAATTAAACCCACAATTACACGAGCACACGACCCGCCTATCATTCCCGAGGTTGACCGCGAACGGACGCTGTAACTGAGCACCCGTGCCTGATTACCAACACCACGCAACCACCCACCGCACTCTCACCACTCGCATACGCACCGCCATGTCTGTCGAGCTCGATCCCGTAGAGCTTGGTTTCAAGCGTAAGCTCTATCAGTGGCATTGAACGCATGCAGCAATACTAAGCCCACCAGGACCCTTTCAGCATGAAGTGTCGCAGACTCTCCGCTTGAAGAACCCGCATTCTGACCCTGTTGCCTTCAAGGTGAGCCGCTTTGCTTGTCTCCTGCTATTTTGTAGCTTCATACCGAACGCGCAGCTAACACGTGCAAGGTCAAAACCACGGCTCCCAAGCAGTACGGCGCCTGCGACCCCTTCTTTGCCCCACAACAACTGACGAGGGAACTACAGATATTGCGTCAGGCCAAACAGCGGACGTATTGAGCCTGGAAAGGAGGTTGAAGTTCAGAGTATGCATATCTCAAGCGCGCGCACCTTGCGGACACCTTGCAGCAGCTAACAAATGTGCTTAGTTCTCCTCCAGGCTATGAAGGAAGACCCACCGCCAGATGCGAAGTGCCGCGACAAGTTCCTCGTACAGTCGGTCCTCATCACCGCCGATAAAGAGTTTGCCAACGTTGGATCTTTGGTACGCATATTTATTTTTGGGTAAAAGGGCAGAGTAGGGCTAATTGCTTGCTATAGTGGTCGCACATTGAACAGACATCCAAGTCTTCCATCCAGGAGAAGAAGATCAGGGTCCTGTTCCTCGCCCCTGACGAAGGTGGCCTGAGTGTAACACCCGCAAAGACCAACAACTCTGCTAGCCGCGACTCTTTGGTTCCATCCCCATCGCCGTCTCAGGAAGCCTTCACCCCTCAGCGTGGTGGTGTATCTGACGCATCTGGACCGGTTTCCGTCCCACAAGATCGCCCGGCTGGCAGCAAGAACTTGGGAGAGATCAGGAACGAGACATATAACCCTGCGACGGGTGGTAGTGCTCAGGGTGCCCTCAACTCGGCTGCTGCGAGTGTCTCGAACGCTATTCCTTCTTCCGGTGACCTAGAGGCACAACTTGCCGAGGCCAAGGCGCAGATTGCACGATTGACACAGCAGGTTAGCGAAGCGACCGGTCTCCGCCAGCGCAAGACAGGTTCCGCACAAGACTCGAAGTCACAAGTCTCAACTGCTACCGAAGTACGACAGGCCCCCGCTGGAGGTGTCCCCGTTCAGATTACCGCGCTTCTTTGTCTTATCAGCTTCCTCTTGGCTTATTTCCTTTTCTAAACACCTTTCGGGCAGCAATAGAGCAGTCGGCAAGGGATTTTGTGTTTGGTGGGCAAGGCGTGGGATTGCGCATTAACTTTCTACAGGAGGCAAGAAGCAGTAGGGCAGCGGTGGTATTGGATGGCGCTGGATGAGAGGACAGTTCATTGCTTTGTGTTCTCGGGGGCTATTTTTGCTTGGACCTAGGCTTCTTGTTGGCTACGCATACAGAGTGGCATCTGCTAGGGACGCATGAGCATATCTGCGCGGAAGGCATTCGTGTATCAACAAGTAGACTATCTGGAGTTGTAGCGCGCCAAAATTGTTTGACACCTTAATGTTTATACACACTTTTGGCACTTGCATGTTGTGAAGCCAGTTTTCATACGAGATGGTGGGAAGACAGGCGAATGAAGAAGATACATGTGGTCATCTCATACGTAGCAGTAGTACTTTTTCTGGACAATTGTTCGACTCATGGGGGCACGAGCCAATAGACGAGGGACGATTCTCCAGTGTGGGGTGGCGTAGGAACGTCATGTAAGACCTATCCTAGACCGAGCAATATCACACTCCACCGGTTTGCCGCGGTATCGCCAGACGGCTGTATCCTTGCATGCCTGTGATAGATAGTGGACACCGCCATGCTGCGAGCAGACGTGTAGTGAGCGCGGGTTGGCGGCGGCCATGGTGGGGCTCCGTCCGCCGGAGGGCTAATATGACTCCAGTGGTTTGACAATAGCTTTTCGACTGCGATAAAGCCGTCCTTTTCTTCCTTCTGACTCCCACATTCTCTTTCCTTCCTCATATTTGCAAACATGTGTGGTATTTTCGCCTGCTATAGGTATGCCAGATCCGCTCTGCACCCACCCTCTACTTCACTTGTGCTATGGAGACGTTACTAACTTTTTCTACAAAGACACCCAGATGTCCAAAAGTTCAAGCCAACGGCCCTGAAAATGGGCAAGGCGTAAGTTTGCATCTGATTGGAATTGAGAGTGTTGAATTGACTGGTTGCGCGCAGTGTCCGACATCGGGGACCCGATTGGAGTCAGTGACCACGTCTTCTGTATGCGCCGAAGAACACAATAACTGAAATTTTGCAGGTGGCAACTGGGTAGCGAACGACACTAGTAAGAATTACGGAATGATTTGGTAATTGGGCAATTCTGACAGCTGGCAGTCTTGGTACACGAGCGTTTGAGTATTGTCGGTGTTGGTACGCAATCACACGGTCAAAGAAACAATTGTAGTCGAGGCTTACACGAGTAGATACTGGCGCCCAACCACTCGTCAACGATGATGAAACCGTCTCCCTAGCCGTCAATGGCGAGATTTACAACCACCGCATCCTCCGCAAGTCCCTCAAGAAGCCGTACAACTTCAAGACACACTCGGATTGCGAGGTCATCATTCCGCTGGTAGGGTTGGAGACACCACGAACAAGGGCAGCAACACTGATATATATGCCAGTACCTCGAGCATGACATCGATGCGCCTCGAAAGCTGGACGGCATGTTCTCCTGGGTGCTTCACGACAAGACTCAAGACCGTGTAATTGCAGCACGCGACCCCATTGGTGTCACTACCTTTTACATGGGCAGGTCGAGCACAACACCGGGCGCGGTATACTTCGCTTCTGAGCTCAAGTGCCTCCACCCCGTATGCGACAACATCATCTCCTTCCCTCCTGGTCACGTCTACGACTCTAAGACGGACTCGCTCACGCGCTACCATGATCCCAAGTGGCTTGTTGAGCCCGAGAACATTCCTACCACACCAGTAGACTACAAGGAGCTGAGACAATCGTTTGAGCGAGCAGTGCGGAAACGCATGATGGCAGAGGTGCCATTCGGTGTGCTCCTGTCTGGTGGTCTTGACTCGAGTCTTGTGGCATCGATAGCACAGCGCGAGACTCTGCGGTTGAACGAGGCGATAAGGCAGAAGGCAGTGACGTCTGGTGCAAAGGCGAGCGATGAGCAGAGTCAGCTTGTGGGAATCGATGACTCCAACGAGCTTCAGACGGATCTCCTCCTGGGACAACTCAACTCGTTTTCGATTGGTCTGCCCAACGCTCCCGATGCCATTGCAGCACAAGAAGTGGCCAACTTCCTGGGAACAAAACACCACACCTTTACTTTTACCATTGAGGATGGTCTCAACGCGCTTACCGATGTCATCTACCACCTGGAGACATTTGACGTGACGACGATCCGAGCCTCAACCCCTATGTTCCTGCTGAGCCGAAAGATCAAGGCCATGGGCGTCAAGATGGTGCTTTCAGGAGAAGGCAGTGACGAGATCTTTGGCGGCTACCTATACTTCCACAACGCACCCGACAAGGCGGCGTTCCACCAGGAATGCGTCCGCCGAGTCAAGAACCTCCATCTGGCCGACTGCCTGCGCGCCAACAAGTCGACATCTGCTTGGGGCGTCGAAGCCCGCGTGCCCTTCCTGGACAAGGACTTCCTCAACACAGCCATGAACATTGACCCCGCAGACAAGATGATTGACCGCAAAGCGGGCCGAATCGAAAAGTACATTCTTCGCAAAGCTTTCGACACAACCGACGAGCCGGACACGGCGCCATACCTTCCCGATAAGATTCTGTGGCGTCAAAAAGAGCAGTTTTCCGACGGTGTCGGCTATGGCTGGATCGACGCGCTCAAGGATAACGCCGAGCTCCACGTTACCGATGAGATGATGAAGAACCCCAAGCCCGAGTGGGGTAGCGATATCCCGGATAGCAAGGAGGCGTACTGGTACCGCTGCATGTTTGACGAGCACTTCCCCAGCTACTGTGCTGATACGGTGATGCGCTGGACGCCTACGTGGAGTAACCAGACGGATCCTTCTGGACGGTAAGATAGTGTGCCTTTTGTCTGTGTTTGGAAAGTTTAACTAACGTTGTGTAGTGCCATTGGCGTGCATGAGCAAAAGTATGACAATGCGCAGTAGAAAAGTTAAGATAAGGTGTGTACATCGTAGAAGGGTAGGTTTGGTATCGGGGGGGTTTCAGTCTTCTTGTTCTTTCTTTCTTTCTTGGGTTAAGGGGGACTGATGGACTGTTTGGACTGAGGGCGAAATATATACCAATATACAACGATTGAGTGAGGGTACGCAATGGCTCTTTTGAATCTGATGACGATGATGCTTGTGAAAAAGAATGATTTCGAATATCTTTTTTTGACCATGAAAGGTGAAGTCTCTATCCAAACTCCTTTTTCTCCTCTACTACACTATTATACAACAATAACAAAAAAAACTTTTGTTTCCCTCTTCTCTTTTAGATCCGCAAAAACACCCAAGCGCCCTAGATGGCTTCTTTTTTCTTCAAAGATTTCTTTTGCAGTGTTCATTCTCAATCGGGTATCTTGCAACAGACACAAAACAACCATTGTTTGCTACTGAAAGCATGGGAAATGTATGAGCAACTTTTTCGTTTAAAATGCAAGGGAGCAAATGATGGAAAATGGAAACGAGAGAGAGAGAGATATGGCTGGTGGTAAATCTGGAGAGGTGGTCTAGGCGTCGAGGGCAGAGGTGGATTCGCCGGTTCCAAAGACGCGGAATTGGATGAAGATGGTTACGTCTTCGACCATTGTGCCGAGGGAGCCGATGAGCCAGGGGAGGTTGGTGAGGATGTATTGTTTTTCCTGCGAGTGGAAGATGATCTGTTTGAAGAAGTTGGTTAGTTACAAATGTGTGTAGAGAGGTGAGTCAAGGGGGGTGGGGAACGTACTCCTGCACCATAGGTAGCATTGCCTAGCAAGCTCAACATGAAGAAGAGCAGCGACAGACCCTCGCACGACTTTTCACGCTGGTTCTTGATGATCTGGGGGATACGGGCACCAAGGTAGCAGATTGCGCTGGCGTAGCCGAGGATTTGGGCACCGAGAGGACTGTCAGAGGCATTGCCTGCGTCGTCATGTGTGGGCTGGGGCACCCAGACGCCAATCTGCCAGGCAATTGCCCAGCCGGCAGCACCAACGGCACAGACTCCAAAGATGCTCAAGGCGTTCTTGAGCCATTCGCTCGACGAGGCGGTCGTGACGTCGGGGATGGTGGGCAGGGAGCTGGCGCGGCGTCTGCGACTGGCGGCCGAGTCGCGCCTGTGGCTACCTGGGAGGCCAATGTTGCTGCTGTCGCGGCGGCCGAGCAGAGGCGCCTGGACGCTGTCGGTAGAGCGGGTCGACGACTTGCGCTCGCGACGCGAGTTCTTCATGTTGTAGTAGAGGCATTGGCTGATGAGGACCAGGTCGGCGAAGCAAAAGTATACGGCAAGGGCGATGACGGTGGGGACGAGGCCGGCCCAGAGGGCACCGGCGAGGTTAGTGACATCGCCAATGAACCAGACAATGAGGAAGGCGAGCGAGATGCCATCTGCAGAGCCCGACTTGTAGTTTTCGAGCAGCTGGGGGACCTAGTGGGCGAGCATGTTAGTATACATGGATGCATGGATTGGGTCGCGTGGGCGGCTTTTCTATTCATAGTAGCACAGTGGATATATGCACGCAGGCAGTTGCGGCAGTCACATGGCAAGCTGCAGCATGGCCACGCGACGTGCAACAATCACACAACGTCCAAGTCACCATTGGTGAAAGGGGAGGGGGGGTGAGGGAGGGTCTCGACCGCCGCGAAGAAGATGTTACGTACCAGGAGAAAGATCCACGAGGCCAGCGAGATTGAGCCGAAGACACCCGAGAGGGCCTCGTGAGGCGTCAGCGACAGGCTGTGTGACATGGCGGCGGCGAGCATCGTCGTCGGGTGGGCGGCGGAGACTCTGTTATGGGGCGGGCAGCGACAAACGAACAAAGCGGAAACAACGGACGAGGTTGGAGTTATTGGCGGCCGCGACTTTTTGCTACTACTCTGTAAAGGATCTTCGCGACGGCAGACCGGGGGCTTGCTTGAATGCAGAATGCTAGCCAGGCAGGATGACGCACGACCAGACGGACACACTTGTACATACAAGGGCGGGTTCCGCCGGCGGGCCAATGGGCAAATGCGGAACCGGTGACTGGGTGAGTAACAGAGGCTGGGGGGGGGATGGGGACGGTGCAGTCAGAGTGTTGCGGTCCAGTAGCAGGCTGTCTTTTTGTCTTTATAGTAGTAGCAGAGCAGCACTACACGTTACACGTCTTTTTTGGCACGATTTTTTTTTCTGCTTATCTCCTGCGTCTCACAGGTACGAGATGCAGGCTGGGCTGGGTCCCCAGCAAATTTTCATAGTGAGGCGCTGTGGTTGCGGCAGAGGCAGGCCAAGGCAGGCCAAGGCAGGGTCTGGCGCGGCTGAAGCTAAAATTGGCTGCCCACTCTCTCTCCACTTTGCTGCCCACTTGCCTTGGACTTGGACTTGGACTTGCCCCGACCCCCCAACCCCGGCACCCAGTAGTGCTTAATCACCCACCCTCCCACCACTCACCTGCTGCACCTGCTGCACCACAACCACCCCAACGCCTATCCGTTACCCGTCATCCCCTCCACACGCTCGTTCATCTCCTTATTGCCCTCCCGGCCCTCGCTCGCTCAGCCCTGGCCCGTATCCACTTACACCGCCCTCCAAGCTCACTCTACTCGCGTACATAGTCGTCCTTGATCCGTCCGTGGCTCCCTTTTTTTAATACTTACAAATCTCAAACGCCCTCTGTTAGACGCGTCACCCTCGCCCATTAAAGCACGCCGTCTTGACACCCCATCCGCTCGCTCCCGTTACCCTGATCTGCGAAACCGCCAAACATGCTACCAAAGACGTGGTTTTCCGGCGCGGTTCTCGCTCTCGCCACTGTTTCCTCGGCTTTTACCCTCGAGGACCTGCACATTGACGGCGTCAACCACTACCTGCGCCACGGCAAGCGACAAGAAGCTGAGGGCACCGGCGCTGCCTCGTCGCCAGCTCCCCCTGTCTCGTCACCTCCTCCCGCATCACAGCCTTCGCAGCCGCCAGTCTCAACACCGCCGCCAGTCGCATCCCCATCCCCATCACCACAGCCACCGCCATCCAGCGACGACAACAATAACAATAACAACAACAACCCGCCTCCATCGCAACAACCCTCAAACGACGTCCCCGCAAACACACCCACACCAACTACCACCAGGGGCAATGGCGGCAACAACAATAACAATGGCCCTACGTCGACAGGACGCACAACTGCAAACGGACCGGCCGTCACTTCCCCGCCATCCACCATCAGGACCGCACCCATCACCAGGACCTCGGATCTCCTCTCTACCACCCTGCGCGAGTTCACCACCACTATTGTCACAATGAGCGGCGACCAGCAAATCACGCAGACCTCGACTGGTACCAGCACCTCCGTCGCCACCACCGGACAAGTCACCTTTACCGAAGCACCCACAGAACAGCAGGGCAACAACCAAAGCAGTGACGGAGGCATTAGCGACTCTGACAAGAAGATCATTGGTGGCGTCGTTGGAGGTGTCGGAGGTGCTCTGCTCCTCGGTGGCATTGCTCTTGTTTTCTGGCGCATGAAGAAGCGCCAAGCACGTGTCCAGGCAGACGACGATGACCTCATGGCCGGTACGGGCGCAGCTCTTGGTGACAAGCCGCAGAACAGCCCAGGGTCCGCTCCCTACGGATCCAACATGGACCAGTACTCTAGCCCCGGAGGACGGCCCAACGCAGCGGCCAACTTCTAAGCAAAGTGCAGTCTAGACAAACAACACATGGACCTACCACCACAGCCCATCACGATACCAACGACTATTTGCGGGGTTTAACTGAACCGGATGCCATCTCGAGTGCTGAGCCATACTGGCTTGTACATACAATACCATGGCGGTTTTAATAACTTTTATTCCTTCGACGTTATGCAGCCAGCCACGATCATCCCTGACTACGCAGCCTTTTTCCTTTTTCCTTATTTTTTTCATTTTTTCGGACAGGGTTACCACCGCCTTGGAGTTGATAGTGTAGAATGTCATTAAGAAGACGGACGGGCTACTCGAGCTTAGTGTGCAGTCATCACCAATGGGTAGTATATACTAACAAACAAACATCACACCAAAAGACGTTGCAAAACTCTTTTGTCTACTCAATTCCTTCTGTTTGCATTGTCTGCAGTTGCATTCTATGCTTGTTTCGAGAAAAGTTTGTAATGGAGCGTGCGAGTTCTATGCGACTATTCATTATCATCATACCCCCACAATAGCGAATGTAATTACATATACCTTGACCATGGCTTCCCTGTCCCGTGCTGGATTACGTCGACATGTTAATGCGTTTTTTTTTGTTTTCCCTTTTCCCCCTATAGCCTAATCTCCACATAAAATCCTCTGCGTGTTCCTGGTCGTGTCACACCAAATGGTCGTGTGATGGCGTTTCAGCACCGTCGCAGCGTGCATCGGCGACACGCCGTTTCCCCTGCTCGCATTGCAACGACACGGAACATGGCTGTCATCGCGCAGCCACTTTCCCCTCCTCGCCCTTTTTGCAACAACCTAGCAAACAGCTAGTAAATAAGTATGAGTATCCCGCCCCACGCGCACCGCGCTTAGTCGGCGCTACGTCGTAGGTATCACTTTTTTTTGCGGATGAGAAAGAGGTGGATTCGAACCTGTTTTGGAAATACAGACTGAGTCTTGTTGCCCATTTTTCAGGTTTTTTCTGTTTCGTTGTTTTCCTTTCTTGCCTTCGTTTGACCTGTCCGGTTTTTTCCCCTTTGCGTGCGACTGAAAAGAGAACTGCTGGGCAGTTTGAACTCGAACTCGGGCTGGATACTATACCGGGAACGATCCTTTGAAAGAACTTCACGATACCCATAACCGGCTGGAAATATTATACCGGAGAGAGAGAGAGAGAAAGAGAGGGGACGTTACTACACGGTCGATAAATCATAATACTTTTTGTCTGGACCCGAATCTCGATTATCGATATCTGTATATTCCCAAACCTCACACTACGACCAAGAACCGAAACACTCTTCACGACTTTAATACAATTCACCTCGCTACGACAACAACAACAACAACAACCATGCTCCTCCTCCCCTCCACCCTCCTAACCCTCCTCCACCTCGCCCTCCCCGCCCTCTCCCACGCCTCGCCCCAACCCCCCCTCCTCAACTCCACAGCCGACATATCCCTCCTACCCCGCCACACCCTCTTCCTGCGCCAACTCTCCAACCTCCAAACTTTCGACGGCAAACTCGGCAACACGCCCGCACCCCCGATTACGAATTCCGGTAAAGACGACCGCCCCTTTGAAGTCGAGGGAAACACTTTCCCGGATTTTGAAACTGCAGCGCAGAGAAGTTGCGATGAGCAGGCTCAGGGGTGTAGTCGTGAGGCGAATCGGAATGGAGGTGGTGGAGGGAAAGAGGGCGGGTTGAAGGTTAATGATTGTGATGAGCAGAAGAGTTAGTTTTTTTTCCCCTTCCTTTCTTTCTTTCTACTTTCCTCTATTTCCCTTCCCCCTCTCCCATTTGTCTGTCTTTTTTTCTTTCTTAGAAAATGATTCTTTTTTTACTAATACGATGGATACAAAGATAAATGCCTCGATGCGCAAAAGAGTGCCAAAGTCAAGGATTTCAAATCTGCGGTTGCAAGTACGAATATTGGGCCTGATCCCGATTTCCCGGAGTTTGATCTGATTTGTGAGGGTTGAACAGGGGAAGAAACCAAGAAAGAGAGAGATCTGAGAAGGGGTGGGTGGGGGTGTGTTTGGAGTTTGAAAGTACATGAGTATATACAGCTTTTTGGTATTCCTACAAGGAACTTGGAGTATTTTGGTTCCCACTCATTATAAACATATATACATATACACGCACATATTTATATCCAATACAAGCAGATGAATATTGTTCAATTCAGTCCCATATGCCCTTTTCTAGTCTCCTCTCTCTATCTTTACGTTAAAAAAAATCTGCTGTCCACCCTGCTACTAGCACCACCACGATACTATCTCTGCAAAGACGATACAGATGAACAGTGCAAAAAGCAAAAAAGCATCTCGGGCGGGGCTCGAACCCGCAGCCTTTGGATAACCGGATAAAGCAAATTTTTACACAGCTTAGAGATAGAAGTCCAACGCGCTACCATTGCGCCACCGAGACTTGTTGAACAAGTTTTATGAACATCTGGATTTTTTCAAAATTATTAATGTCATGTACTATAAGATGTTTTTTTGGGCGAAAGGGGATGTCAACTGAATGTGAAGTCTTGGTGCCATGGTTGAAGAAGGGCGGGACTAGGTGCAAGGGCTCGACACGTCATCGTTGTGGGGGGAACAGAAAGCGGGGTCATCTTGAGTTGTGGTGGTACAAGTGCTTGACATGGAGTATGGAAACCTTGGTATTTAACGACAGTTTTGTATACTTAATATCATCTTTTTCGCCTTCAAAAGAAGAGAAAGAAAAGTCGCAGCTAACTCCCTTTATGCAGCCCTGTTACTAATAGGGTAAACAGCAAAAGAAGAAGAAATAGTGATGACGCATCACCCTTCAACCTCCTCCCACATCTCCAGCAGCCGATCATTATTCAATTCGCTCAAATCCAATTCATTGTCCTCCATCCAACCGCCATTCCGTCTCACGTTTCTCCTCCAAATATCGCATAGCTGCACGCGATTCGACTCCCAGCTCACCCATGCCGCGGCCTGGAGAAAGCAATCAGTGACATCGTCCAGCTTCTTCATTTCGGATCCGGGGATATCATCGAGTACACTCTCTGCGTCCTTGAACTCGCTATTCTGCTTCTTGCGACGGGGGAAGCACAGAGCGCGGTAGGTGGGCTGTGCGGGATTGCTGATTACAAAGGAAATTGGGGGCGTTGATTTAGTGATTGTAGATGAGGTCGAGGCAGGGGATTCAGTGAGCCAGGAGCGTAGGAGAGAGATTTTAGCTTTCTTTTCGGCTTTGGAGCGACTGATTGTGGGCTGGCCCTCCGCTTCGTTTTGAATGTCTTTGGCGGGTGAGGAAGTAGCTTCGTCGGCGGCAAGACGCTGGGAATTTTGTCCGAGCCAGTAGTGTCCTACGCGCTTTGGATCTACGGCAAAAACATCGTATAGCTTCTTCTTTTCCTTGTTCATCTGGGTAACATCTGTCTCGTTCTGTATCGTTTCCAGCACAGCCCACAACATGCCTTCCAGTGTATTCACGCGAAGCGTCCACTGCTGTACCGCGCTACCACCACCTGATCGCCACCTCTGCTTTTCGATCAAGATGACATCCGGAGATCCAGATAGTATCGTTTCCTTGATAAGCTTGTACGCAGTTTTAGACAAAGTATCCAGGGAATAAGGATCCACTTCTTCATCTGGGTCCGCTTCCGCGTCACTCAGTCTGGTCGTGTCTAGTTCGCTGCTCTCGGTCGCGCCTTGATATCTTACAGAAGCAAGATCCGCCTTTTCCCACCTTAAGACATCCATCTTCGCATCCAGACTATCTTTCACCGGATATGAGACTTCGGCCTCGCAGAAAGCTAGATTCTTGATACCCATGTCGATGCTCATGATGCGAAGTTTTTGGCCTATGGGCCGCGAAGCCTCCCATTCTGGATGACGAGCAAAGAGACGGGATTTGGTGAAGTTCTGCCGAAAGCGTTCCTCGAGAATTGGCTTGGTTCCTGATGATGCTGAACCGATGCGTATAAGGAGTGACTGCAGCCCCTTTGCCGTTATGGCACGTGGTTTCGATGCCATTGTAGAAAAATCTTCAACGATAATTCTGCTTGTCGACAAAAGTTCTTCTCAACGAGTTCGCCGGCGGCGCATTGCCATTCAATGCTAATTGATTTTATAGAGCATTCTGGTTGTGGCCCCACAATTGGCTCATGTGGTGGTTAGCAAGTCTCTCATGGCGTGCAGAGATTGATCTAGGAAGGAAACACGAGGTGAGACATCTGAAGCTAATACACACCCCACGTGACCCGACATTACTAGTGGGCCTTTTCGGGGAAGTCAGTGAAATCATTCAAATTCCTAGGTTTCACAGCAAAACTCCCGATAATCCAAGAAAGTAATGTGGAAACCATAAATCATGAAGTGGCTATTCAATACACATCTGAATTACCATTGATTGCTTAAATATTCAAGAACTATGTACCACCAGCGCCATGCGCCATTTCCTTTTTAGATTTTAATTGTCGTCATTGTCTCCATCCAGTCATCCAACTTCTAGTCAGTCAATTCGGCACTCCTAGTAATCTCCTCCTTCATCTCTCTTCCCTTCCTCGCCAAAAGGTTGAGCGCGCTGCCAGCAAGGATGAAGCCACACTGATCTTGCGAGAGAGTGTGCTTAGTCTTGACCACCTTCTCGCTGCCATCTTTCTTCTTGAGAACCAACTCAACTTCTCCCTTGCCACCGCTCCTCAATACATCCAACAGTCCCCTTGTGGCAACTTGGTCGCAAGCCGCAAAGGCGTCGTAGTCGGCCTCGTTTGCGAATGTCAGAGGTACGATACCTTGCTTCTTAAGGTTGGTCTCGTGGATTCGGGCAAAAGACTTGGCGAGGATGATGCGTCCTCCCAGGTAACGCGGCTGCAGAGCGGCGTGCTCACGTGCAGAGCCTTCACCGTAGTTGTGCTCTGCCACGACGAGCCATTCAACACCTTGGTCGCGCCATCTCTTTGCCAACTCAGGAATACCAGATTTCTTGCCATCCACATCATAAGCAACATTGACTTCGTCTGTTTCCGCGTTGACTGCACCGATCAGTGTATTCTCAGAAATGTTGGGCAGATGGCCCTTGTACTTGAGCCATGGGCCGGCTGCAGAGATGGTGTCTGTTGTACACTGTCCCTTGACTTTGTAGAGGACGCGAAGCCCTGTAAACTCAGAGTCAGGGAATGCTGGGAAGGGGTCGAGCAGTGCCAGACGGCTAGAGGTAGGTGACACAACGACCTCGACATTGGGGTCGGGTACACCTGGTGTGGGCATAAAATCTGGGTTACCATCTGCAAATCCCTCCGAAGGTAGATCAGAGCCCTTTGGTGGCGCAAACTTGAAAGGCTCACCAGACGGCGTGGGAATGCTGTCAGTCATAGGGTTGAAGGTTGTGGAACCAGAGTATGCCATGGCAGTGATGAGTTCAGGGGATGCGAGGAAGTTCATTGTCGCACGGTTGCCATCATTACGACCGGGAAAGTTGCGGTTGTAAGATGTGAAGATGGCGTTGGACTCGCCCTTCTTGACTTCGTCTGTGCGCTTCCACTGACCAATGCAGGGTCATTGAGTATGTCAGTATGGCGATTTTTTAACAGAAGATGTTGAGAGAACTCACCCGCAAGCATTCGCCAGAACAGTACCTCCTGCTGAAGTAAAAGTAGATAGGGTGTTGTCTCGGTCTAATGTTGCCCGGATTTGTTCACTGCCTGGTGTGATGAAGAAGTCAGCCTTCGGCTTGAGGCCCGCAGCTGACGCCTGCTTCACAATTTCTTCTGAGCGGGTCATATCCTGGTAAGAACTATTCGTGCAACTACCAATGAGACCTGCACCAAATGTCTTTGGCCATCCCTTTTCTTCAACTACTGTCTTGAACTTAGAGAGAGGTGTTGATAGATCAGGGGTGAAGGGTCCGTTAATATGGGGTTCCAGCTCTGAGAGGTTAATTTCAATGACTTTGTCATAGACGGCATCTGGGTCGGATCGCAAGAAGTTCTGTTGCATTGGCGATTGAGCGATCTTGGTGGCTGCTTCAGCAATGGATCCACGATGTGTGGCCTGCAGGTAAGGAACATGTGCTGGAGAGAAGGGGAAGAGCGATGTAGTTGCGCCGACTTCAGCACCCATGTTGCTATTTTTTGTCAGTCATAATCCCGAAACATCAGGGAACTTTGTTCTCACCAGATAGTCGCCATACCAGTGCAGCTCAAAGACTGCACTCCAGGACCAAAGTATTCAATGATGTAGCCAGTACCGCCCTGCGCATTTGTTAGCATCAATCACTACACAATCCTCGATGTCACATACCCGGACTGTGAGTTGACCAGCCAAGTTAAGAATCACGTCCTTTGGAGAAGCCCATCCACTGAGCTCTCCAGTGAGCTTGACGCCCAGGACTTTGGGTGCCTTGAGCTCCCATGGTGCATCTACTAGAGCATCTACTGCGTCGGCACCACCTACACCAATGGTAATGGAGCCAAGCCCGCCAGCATTCGGTGAGTGGCTGTCAGTTCCCAGAATCATTACACCCGGTGCGCTGTAGTTCTCCAACACGGTTTGATGGATGATACCCGCACCCGGCGGCCAAAACTCGATTCCATATTTCTTTGCCGCCGACTCCAAAAAATCGAAAATCTCGCTGTTGCCTGCAATAGACTGTGGAAGATCGGCTTCGGCGCCTTTCTCACCCTATTGGCAATGTATCAGTATCAAGGCTCTACGATCGAGGCAAAAAGGACGAAATAATACTTACGACAATAAGATGGTCGCAGTGTATACTTGCTGGGACTGCTGTTGTCGGAAGTCCACAGCTCATAAACTGCAGCAGAGCCATCTGTGCACTAGCGTCCTGCATCGCCACACGGTCGGGCTTCAACTTCAAGTTTGCCTGGCCTCTGATATCCCGCCCGCCATTTGTGTTGCTCAAGAGCGACTCCTCGGGGTTCTCAAGATGCGAATACAATATCTTTTCAGCCAAGGTTAATTGGCGTGAGGAGCCAAGCACGCGCCGTACTTCCTCCAGGCGAGAGAGTAGTTTGGCGTATGGCGGGGTGCGTGAGGCAATGTCGACATTGCGAGCCTTGGGCAGGTCATGAGTCGTAGCTAGATACCTTCGAGATTGTAGGGCGGATTGCCGGAGCGAGGAGAGCAGGTGAGGCTTGGACGCTGTTAGTGTTCTGTCATGTACATTGGCTGATTTCACTGTAGATGCTCAAGTATGACTGTTCAAGTGTTGTACTTTTGCCGCATTGTGTATATTTTTCTCTAGGAGATGATTAACTCACCCTGTACTTGGCCGCTTGGCCGGCACAGATGATTTGCGACCGCATCCTGAGGCTTGTCTAGTGGGCGTCAGCACAATGGCGAAGGACAGGTGCACATTCGCACAAATTATCTCCAGCGACATCGCTCCGCAAGTCTGCACGTACCGGGGTTAGGGTCAGGGACGCGAACGTTAACGCCTCTCGTGTGGAGAACCCCTACAGCTTCTATCCAATCACAAAGCATGTGGACGTCATCACAGAAAAACGATGCGTCCAGAGAGCAGTGAAATTGAATGACTGCGAATTAGCAGTCAGATCGAGTCTAGTGTTTATGAGATTCAGAGTATGTTGTTTAGAGAGAAATAGAATCAATTGCTATTTCATAAATCCTAACACCTAAATTGCGTTCACACATTTATCAAGATGTCAAGCACTTTTAAGAAAACACTAACATTGGTATCCTAATGAAAGTACTAAGTCCATTCGGACAAACTAATACTATACCCGATCGCCAGCAGAGATGCGGCTCAATAGCAACCAAGCAAGCTCGCCGAAGCGACAGGTATTATTTCTAACGCCACCAGACATGCTGTGAATCATTACAGGAGAGTTTGTTTGAACTGTGCTCAATCAATCAAGTCAAGATGAGAGGCTGTCGTAAGTGCTCAATCATAGTCGTTGCTTGACACTTACAAGCCGGGCGGTGGAGGGACCTAATGGCACATTAGCTGAGACCATCTTGTGCTCATAATGTATACGTACCGCACCGTAGTTTGAAGGCGAAGCAGCAGGCGGAGGTGGTGGCGGGGGAGCACCATAGCCAGCCGACGCAGGCTCGGAAGGTGGTGGTGGAGGTGGTGCAGCGGCACCGGCCCCTGGAGCAGGCGACTGAGTTTGTCCATAACCGGCCTGAGCATAGTAAGCGGCATACTGCTGCTGCTGCATGGTAAGATATGCTTGGTAACCACCATATTGGGCATAGGGGTCTTGGTCAGGGTTTTGCTGGTAGTATGCAATCCATGCTTGGGCAGCATTCGCATCAAAGGCCTGGTTGTTCGCGTCGGCAGTTGGCGTTGCGGCGGCTGGTGACATGTGGCTCTCCAGGGCACCATAGCCGTTGTGGCCTCCTTGCCCACCATGTCCGCCGTAGCCGCCGTAGCCACCAGCGCCTCCGTAACCATAGCTTTCGCTTCTGCCACGGTCGCCACGGTCGCCGCGGTCGCCGTATCCTGGTCGGCCACCGGAGTAGCCGTCGCGGTCACCAAATCGAGCTGATGCAGGGCGGTCCTTGAAAGCATGGTAGTCTGTCTTTACCTTGTCGAGCAGCTCTTCGCAGAGCTGCTTCGCTTGGGCTACACCTTCAGGGCGGGGTCCGCTACGTCTTGTCAGCACAGATATACATGACAGCAACAAGGCACCTACGCAATGTGGAGGTACATGGGCTCGTCGCTCTCTTGGCCGGAGTTGGGCTCCATGAAACCAGAACCGCGACCCTTGATTTGCACCTTGCAGCCTGTCTCCTGTTGGATAAACTTGACATTGTCGCCACCGCGACCGACAACCTGTGCTCGCAAGTTAAAGCCACTAATAGGCTCCAGACCTACGGAGATTTTCTCTTCGGGCCACTTGCGCTGTTCCTAGTTAGCGGCGTATTGGCCCTAGTGGACAGGGAGACATACCCGACCAAACTCGTCACGTTCAAAGTTCTCGGGCTCGCGACGGCGGAAACGACGTTCGTCAACTAAGTTAGGGAGATCTTCCTTCTTCATCTCTTCAATCATTGCTACAGCCTTTTCGAGGCCCTCCTTGGAAGTGCTAGTAATGCGGAGATAGAGCGGGGGGTTCTGCGACATTGATTAACATTTGCATGCTGAAATCAGAAACATCAACTTACAGCAGCAGTGGCCATGTTCTTGTCGGGATAATATTCTCCACGAGTAGTGACATCTTGCATGTATAAGCAGGAGTTCTAAACATCAGCAGGTATAGTCGGGGAATGCGTACCGGCGCCAGTCTCGTCTTTGATCTATATATCACATGGAGGTTAGCATCTGATAAACGGGGTTTGGGACGCGCTAGAAGATCAAGTAAGCTCTGACCCTCCATGCAGAGAGATGCGCAAACAGAGTCCGGCTCCCAGGGCAGAGCGAGGACATGATCCTAATCGATCAGTGAACAGCAAAAACAGTTATTTACCCTCTTTTGTGTGGCTCCTTTGGTCAGTGTATAACGATTACGGAGATCATTGATTTCAATGTCCTTGATGTAGTCACCATCCTGCTGGTACGTCTCGTTGCTGATGGCCGCAGCAGAATTGGATGCGGGCGACTTGGCGACTGGAGGAGTGGGCGCCTGGGCACGGTCAGTAGTGGGCTTTGGTGAAGAGGTTTGGCGAGGGACATACAGAGCGAATTGGCGGCACATCGACGTGCTGGATGCCCTTCTTCGCCTGAATCTGCGCGTTGATCCTCGCAGCCGCCGCAGCCGCAGCCGCAGCCGCCTTGTTCTTGAAGCTGGCCGAGGCAGGGCTGTCTGTGCCTTCACGAGAAATAGGGCTACGAGCGCGATGCGACTCGGACTCTCGTCGCGACGGAGACCTAGAGCGGCGGTCAGTGTCGAAGCGCGAACGTGCCGGACGCTCCGGCTCGTCGCTATCAAAGCGGGATCGCGGACGGCGTTCTTCAGACATGGTTCGGTGGGCGCTTAGAGACAAGATAGACGTGCGGCGAGGGTCGATGTCGAAGTCAAAGGTCAAGATGGACGCACCAGTCAATCACTGTTCGCTTGTCGCCTGGGCACAGCTGCTGCTCGCTTACTTAGCGTGCCGCGGCTGCACCTGCCCGTTGGCGCCTCCTCCGACCATCGGCCGCGCCTTAGGACCGGCGCTGTATTTGACTTTGTACGGCTCCCTCGCTTCTATATACTCTGCTCTGCTACGTATACACACGTACTCATCCCACAATGGCCTCCCGGCGCGCAGTACTGCCGCTGCGCAGCCTCCTCAGCAGGCAATGCGCCGGCACCCTCCGCCTGCAACAGAGGGCATCCAGCTCCTCATCTACACAGGCACTCGCCTACAAGGCCCTCCACCGCCGCATCGCGCCGCTCCCAACCGAAGACCGCCCTCCGGCATGGTCGGCGCCTGCTGCCGTCAGCAACATTCTCTACGAGACACCACTTCCGTCACAGGCCCCCCCAAAGAGTCACATCCTCAATTGCTTGGTCCAGAACGAGCCCGGTGTGCTGTCCCGTGTATCCGGTATCCTGGCCGCCCGTGGCTTCAACATTGACAGTCTGGTCGTCTGCAACACCGAGGTGGATGATCTCTCGCGTATGACAATTGTGCTCCAAGGTCAGGATGGGGTTATAGAACAGGCCCGCCGCCAATTGGAGGACCTAGTCCCTGTCTGGGCTGTGCTCGACTACACGGAATCACCCCTCGTTCAGCGCGAGTTGCTTCTCGCAAAGGTCTCGATCCTCGGACCTGAGTACTTTGAGGAGCTTCTTGCACACCACCGTGAAATGGCCCAGCCACCCGAGACGGATCGTCACGAAATCGAGAACATGTCAGAGGATGAGCGCAACGCTGCAGCACACGAGGCTGCTCGTGAGTCGCTGAGGAAGGACTACCACCCCACAAACCTGCCCATCAGTCAGGCGCTTCGACACAAGCACGAACATCTGCGTGCCATCACCTTCATGACTCATCAGTTTGGTGGGAAAGTGCTTGACATTAGCACCAACAATTGCATAGTAGAAGTTTCGGCAAAGCCCACCAGGATCGACTCGTTCATGAAGCTGATTGCACCATTTGGTATTCTCGAATCGGCGAGAACTGGTACGTAGCTCGAAACTTTACCTAAGAATCAATACTAACGTTAGAATAGGTCTAATGGCTCTACCCCGCTCTCCTCTCCACAATAGCGCAGAAGTCGAGGAGATGGAGGCACAAGATGTTGTCGACAACAGCCTGCTCCCCCCAGGTTAAGCATTGAAAAAAGCGGTCAAGTCTGTTCGGGGCCAACATATGTGGGTGTTACATATCATGTGTACAGTATGGTGTTTCTCCAGAGGCAGTACTCTATATGGGAGGTAGGCTGTGACATTGCTTCATGTATTTCAAGATCAAAAAAAATAATCGTCTTCGATATGAGTGACCAGTAATGCAAAAATATTTCAATGTTGCAAACTACGTGTCTGATCGGCTGTCATCGTTTAAAGCCGCAACAAGTACCTGAAACATATGCCGAAACCCGACCCCCAGACACTGTGGATTCCGGCTTACCCCCGGTTGCGGTAGACACTTCACCACGTGAAACACTAACAGCCGAGTGAGCGATCGACGTCCACTGCGGAAACGACTACGCACGCAGCTAACGCTGTAACACCCCTAGGTTAACAAGCGGAAAAATGCCCAGCCGGTGCTTACAAAATACACTCTTCTTTCGGCCCGATCAACTCAGGCATGACTAACTCGTGCGTGTTCTTACATATACTTTCGGGCCAGTCATCAACATAGTCCCAGTCGCCCAGGTTTTTTACTTCTACACATTTACTTGGCATATTTCCCCAATCTCGAACATTTTTCTTTCCTTAGTAAGAAAAGAAGGAAGGGAAGAAACATCCAATTTTTTTCTCCATATAAGAGAACAGATATATTCAAGCGGATTTAAAAGAAAAGATGGGAAATGAAATCCCCATCCCCGCTGGTCTCATCGAAGAACCACTCGATCACGCCGTAGATATAATAGGCGAAATGTTTAAAGACGATCCCTTCCAGCGCTACGTGCTCATGGGCGAATTAGCCAAGAGAGGCGAGACAGACGTCAGTTATGAACACAACCGGGAAATCTTCGCAGATGTGATTCCGGGGATTCTGGCAGGTGAGGCGCGGGCTATTACTGTTGCGGGGAGTGGAATCTCAAGTGTATGGTACGTTGTTATCTACCTCCCCATACTTTTTCCCTACACTCTCCATAATTCTTTTTTCTTCTATTTTCCTTCCAAATCACATAAAGAGTCAAACAATTTAGTATTGGGAATTTGGATTTGATAATGGTGGAATAAAAGAGACTAATATGTATATACAATGACAGGCGTCTCGAGCCCATAGAAGATGAACCCATCATCCCCCCGCACTACCCACCCGGCGTCACCGAACTCAACCTTGCCGCGCACAAGACAAAGAAACAACATCTACCCCCAACCGCAACGCACATGCTGCATCTCTCCTTGCTGGGAAACTACCGTGAGCATCCCTCCAATGACAAGAGTTGCAATCACAAAGTCAGCGAGGTGATGAGACCGGTGCTCAAGATGGCAAAGGAGAAGGGCTGGCCGGTTGTGCTGGAGGCCACGTCGGAGAATGGCAGGGATGTGTATAAGCATTTGGGAATGGAGGTGCTGGAGGAGCATACGTTTGGACAGGGTAAAGTGGGGAGTGATGGGAAGAGGAAAGAGGGCGGTGAGGGAGTCAAGATTTGGGTTATGATGGCTTAATTGATTCCAAATGTCTTTGCTGGCCAACTTTTTTTTCCTTTGGCAATGGTAATGTGCCAGCGCATCTTTGTGGCTTGCATTGTTATCGCAAGCATGTTTTTGGGTGCTGGATGTTGTCTTCACCGCGCGCCTTTTTCTTGGGTGCATGACGAAGTACCGACGTGTGAGGGGAGGAGTGGAGGATAGAGTTTAGAGATAAGATGAGGTGTATAGATTTGGAGTCTTGCTTTTGGGCCAAGAGATAGATAACAGAGATGGTACATGGGACAGAGAGAGACGTGGCATGCAAGTTGAAAGTGTATGTACATTGTACATTGTGCGTTGCATTGAGTGTTTCTGCGCGCATATGCATGTAGGATTGCAATTGATACTCATGTTAACCTATGCAAACGTTGCGCATGCTGCTGATTGCAAGTTCATTTTTACAGGTAGTTGAATATCCAGCTGCATTCCTAATCAACCGATTAAGCTTATCCGCATTGGTGCTGTTGTAATGGTTCAGTGTTCATGTCATACGACAACGGCAATCCAGACCAAGCGCATCCTTCAGCGTCAGACGAGCCCCGCCAGCCTCAACTATGAGTCGATCGAAATCCATCGGCACAGCACCGAGCGTGCAGTTTAAAACGCGAGTAATGCAGAGTGCCGTAACTTGCCAGTGTCTGAAATGAAACGCTCACCATCCAGAGCACCCACGTGGGCGGCGTCGGCCTTGCCAGTGGAACGATGTCCGTTCCGGCTGTGTGATGGCAGCTGCATATGCACCATGTCTTATGTAGAAATCTCCGGATCCCTGCAACGTAGTCCTTGCTTGTATAGGTAGGTGAGCACGCGACCTGACAGGCCAGCGCCTGCATGCATGTCGTATACCTACGCCTCGCAGATACGTCGGGTCAAGACAAGCAATGCCAATGTGGCTGATTGTGCAGCAGTTTGTGGCACTTCGGCTATGCACATGGATTCTTTTTGGGCTCTTGGTTCCTAAAAAGAACCGTTTTTTTGTATACGAAAAGATGAGTGTATCTCAGCAATGCTTGGGTGTAGCTACCGTCCCCGTCTCGAAGGCGGGCGCTGTTGCGGATGCAGCGTGCCGCATGGGGTTTCTGCTTAGGAATTATGGACATGGTCTAGAGCCGTTTGACTCAGTTTTCCTCTTCTGCTTCAGGCAGCCAGACTCGTGTGGCTCCATGCCCGCTGTGGACTCTCTCTCGACTAGTAACAAGTTGCCGCGGCTTACGGACCTACAGGCGATGAGTGGATTAGGCCCACTTCTGCTCTGGATCGAAGACCCTGCGACGGGTGGCCGGCGGCCGCACGTAATTTCGTGGGGATCTTGATAACCGTTGACTCTTGCGCGCGCTTGTTCTTGTTCTTCAAAATCACAAGCATATCATACTTCTAGTAAGCGATTTGGCGATCAATCTGCAAGGATTGCGTCATGTGGGATCCTGTTCGCCATTGGATGAGTATCGGCAGATTTGGATTATTTGCAGTAAGCGATGTTCGAGTGGAATATTGTTTCCGCTTCCGCCCCACGCAAGACAAGTGGAGATGTTCGTTATGCGCTTGCGGTATGGTCCATATTTGTTGCGAGGCAAGCTTTTGTGCTCCATCTTTCTCCAGATATATACAATGCCCAATCAGCAAGCACTGATGACATTCTGCTGTCGAGCAGGGCCTGTCCGGATATCACGGTATATTGACGTACAGGAATGATCGCAGTCCACGTTGAGAGAGGGAATCGATTCGAGTTTCGATATTGGAATTGTCGTTGGTGTGGTGCTCAAGTGCCGTTGGCTCCTGATACGATACGGTACGTATTTCACATGGAAATGGAAATGGAAATGGGAACGGAGGGAGATGCGTCTCCGGACCAGTGTGGGCTGTTGCAGCCAATAGGAGGAGCATTGCCGTTCGTGGCCTTGTCAAACGGCAGCGGTGGCCAGGCCGCAGCGGCGCTGGCCTGGGCTGGCTGGAGGAGCATTGTGAGGATCCGCCGCGCAGATATTTTCTTCCCTTTTTTTGTTTGCCATTGGCACGTCAGGGCTGAGGCTGCTGCGGCGACGGAGGCGTGGTGTTGAGTGGGGGAGGAGATTGGTTGGCGGCAGGGCTGCCGTAGATTTTCAACAGCGATGGATGCTTGCACGTGCATCGACTGGGATGGCGATGGATGCTTGCACGTGCATCGACTGGGATGACGGCGGAGGGCGTGGCAGGGGTGCCAATAAGTAGCGTGAACCAGCGCGCGCGGCCGATGTCATTTCCCTTCCCAGCTTTTGGCCATGGATATGCATGCGGTCACCCAGCTTCAGTCCTTACTGCTTTTCACAAGCTCAATGCTGCCCTTCCTCTGGTTGTGTGCGCTGGGCTAATTATCCGGTCAGTATATAGTCTCAACAGTTCCGGTGACATTGGCATAGGACCGATTCAAAACATTGGCAGCCGACCCGCGCCTCTCAGTCGTCAGCTCAACTGTTATCGCTTCCTAGTTAAGCCGTTCGGTAAGCAGTCCGTACGCGGTAGCCTCTCGGCCGTTCGGCGGCTCAATGCCCCAAATGATGCCTTGGATCTGCGACACATGAGATGGAACCATCAACGTCTCCGTCGTTGCGCTATTGGGATCCCGTTATCTAACGGCTGGCAGTTCGCGCCATTGTTTGCCTCCTGCGACGCTACACCTCTGTCCTACAGTACCCTGTCCCATTGAACGCCCACGACCTTCATCCCTACGCGCTACTTGTTGGAATGAAGTACGGCGATACCCTGAGGCAGAGGTCCATACCAGAATGGGGCCACTGTAAGTGTCCGACGCTACATTGCGTGACCGTCTCGGCTAACAGTTGCGCGCTTGCAGATAACATAGACTACGACTACCTCAAAGAGCTTATCAAGCACCAGACCACACCAGGCACGAACAAGGCCGTATCCATACCCGGCCAGGGCGAGAGCACAGAGAGAGCTTTTGGCGACACCTTCTTCAAGGTCCTCGCGGAACAGCATGATCGCATCAACCTATTCATACGAAGCAAGAGCGGCGAGATCGAACGGAGGCTAGAGCACATCAGCAAGACCCTACACCACCTGCGTACGAAACGCGATCCGGCGAGTGGGCGTCTCCCCGCTCGCACCGTCGAGAGATATGCCAAGATCGAAGCAGACGTCCTGAGGTACGCGACAAACACACTCGTGCACGCGTATCCACGGCCACCCCGCTGACACACACAAATACAGGACCGGAGAGGAAATCAGGTCGCTATCCCGCTTCCAAGTCACCCAACGAACTGGCTTCGTCAAGATCCTGAAGAAGTACAAGCGCTGGACCAAAGATGGAGAGCTTGCCTATGTTTTCAAGCAAGAGATCAGCAGCCGCCCGGACAGCCTTTTTCAGCTAGACCTGGGCTACCTATTGGACCAGTTCGTCGACGCACTCGACACGCTCCGTTCGGCCTTCGACGTCGAGGGTACATCAGCGGCTAACGCTACCAGTGTTACTGGTCAGTCGCCGGCTGCGCGCATATCAAGAAGTTTGGAGAGAGGAGATGACGTGGACTTTGACCTAGCACTGGACACAGTGTCCTTGGGCTCCAAAGGAAGCAAAGCAACATATTGGATACACCCGGATCACATTGTTGAGGCCCAGGTGTTGCTTCTTCAACACATGCGACTTTATATCAACAAAGCAAGGCGCAATTCATCTTCTAGACCAACACCACTTCGCCGCCACTCGTCCACGGCCAACATGGACCCTTATGTTGGCAGCGAAGATACAACTGGACTTGTTGTTCTTGATCATCCCGAGACGTTTGCATTCAAGCAAAACGCAGGCACGATAGGCGCAGCGGAGGAGATGCAAGGGAGCATTGGAATCAAGGCAGCGGGGCAGGTGCGGTGTTGTGCTTCAAGTCAAGCGGCGGTTATTGTTTGTGACGAAGGCGATGCACAACACGCACCACCATCCAGTGTCAAGACAGTAAAGATGGAACGCAGATATCTAAAAAACTTCTTGGATACATCTGTGACTAATGACAGTATTAAGCATTCTTGTAGTCCACGGGAGAATGTCTTGACTGTCCGGCAATGGCTTGCTGAACACACATCCGCAAAGCCCATTGCTGGTGCACTCTTGAAGCGAACCCGGTTTACTGGGCTTCACAACAATTCTGCAGGAGGTACTTGGGCAACTCTGGACAAGGACATCTCTTTGACAGACCAGCTATTTGAAGACCTTGGCAGCGACGACTGGACTTCAGCCGCCAAATCAGAGTCGACCCAGCGGTTTCCTCATGCCATCCTAGAGATTCGCCGTGAGGGCAACCAGGCTACGTCTCTCATCCAGATGCTTGACCGAAGTCATTTGGTATGTCAGACCCCGATTTTTTCTTCCGAGTTACCTACTAACAAATGCAGGTTGAGCGTGTCCGAGGCTTCTCTTTGGAGGCACATGCTGTGTGGGCTTGCTGCAAGCCAGGCGCCATGTCTGCGCCTTTTTGGATTTCCCTCTTGGATAAGGACATTCGCAAGTTACCAGAGCCCGTCCAACGACGGAGCCGTAAGGCTAGGGGCAGTGCCAGCGCTTCAGTATCGCAGATGTCTCCTACAGCTACATCCACATCCAATACTTCGTTTGACGGCCAGTCTAGCCCGCTTGCGTCACGTTACGAGGAGTCTTCTGCAACATCGGTACATGAGTTTGTCGACCCACCGCCACTGCAGGCATTTAGGAAGAAGAGTCGCAAGCCCTACTCCGACTATCCTCCTCCGATAATACGGGGAGAGTCTGAGGCAGAGGCACAGCCACGGTACTGGAACGAATACGACCACCCGGAAGACGAAGAAGGGGGCTATTATATCTACATCGACCCCGATGCGTCTGTAAAATTTCCGGGACAAGAGTTTTTCGAGGCATGTGCGAGGAAAACAAGAAAGCTGTTTGGGATACAAGAGGAGCCTGAAGAGGCATCCCTCTCTGGCATTGAAGATTCGGACGATGACAACGATACGATTGATTCATCGCCCGTTATCCACGCGGCAAATTACGGAGCAATTGATTCGAGCAGGCAAGGTACAGAGGGAAAAGGCTATTTCAGCACTCTGTTCCGTTCGTTGCGTAATCCCCACCGCGACGCGGACATTTTCAACGAGCGGCGCGCGCTACTAGGCGAGGTGGAGAGTAACCAACACAAGGTTGAAATGACCAAACTGCGATTTTACTCGACAGCTCTAGGTGCAGCTGTGGTTTTGGACCTCGTCTTGTGTCTGATGACGGTGACGAGCCGGAAGAAGGAGCGAGGTGTTGTGGATGCTGGCGTTATGATTGGTACCATTTGTTCGCTTGTCTTATGTGTTGTCGCTGTGATCAGCATGCAGACACGTAGGGAGCGGTTAGGATGGGTGCATCAGGGAGCGGTGCTGAGCATCACGGGCGCGGTGGTGGCATTGGACATTGTACTTTTGTTGTGGGTGGCACGGATTTGAGAAAGGGGGCTTGGCTAGGTGTGGTCTGGTTGTTGCCATATTTTTTTCTGTTGGGTACTGGTACGGGAGAGTGAGAAGCTTGGGTCTACTCTAGGGGAGGGCGGAACGAGGGTGGCATGGCTGGCTGTTGGCTGATTTTGTGGGTATATGGTCGTATGTGGAAAGGATTGGGCGTCGACAAGAGAGATCGCCGCCGAGATATTCAACATGAATCAATGCTGGCAGCACCATTCGATACACGAATCCACAGGACATGAGATCATCATGAGGCTCTGCGATCCACTGCGCTTGGCGAGTCTCCGTGGGGGTGTGCCGCTTCCGGTTGGGTACTCCACCCAAACCGCGATTGAGGGGGGAGTGTCGGAAGAGCTTCCTATTCTGTCTGCATCCGCCACTTCAAATGTCACTGAATGCCCAAAGGGCTGCACAACCACTGCCGAAACACGGCCAGTTCACGTGAATGTACATCTGTATACTACAGGTGTAGGGCATATGCAGAAGCACAGCCAACAGGTGGGCTGCCCTGCTACGGTGCTTCAGCGGCCGAGAGCCTGCACGTGCAGTCTCCAGCTCCAGCTCCAGCGTCCAATGTCCCGCCATTCCCGAGGTGGAGCGCAACCTAACGCGAACCCACGCTTTCGTCATCCCAAGCGGCGGATGCGCTTCAGACTTTTGAAGCTCCACTGTTCCTGTCTGCCACCTTTCCTCCACGACAAATCCTCCCCCGGAAAAATACCAATCTATCAACTCCATGCTCACCATGCAATTCTAAACACTTCCCGAGGTAGGTCGACTATTCGATGCCAATCTCTCCGATTCCGCTGCGCGGCCGCTAACTAGACTTTTAGATATGTGAAGGCTTGAGCCTCAGCACATCTTACCAGTATTATTTTTTGAACACACATTTGTATAATACACCAACAGCGCCTGGGGCGATTACATCTCCAGTGACACTTGGATCCATCTGCACATCATCACCATGGCTGCCCGACGAGGAAGCCGTTTTATCAAGCCATTGCTCTACACAGCGGGAGCTGGAGCAGTCGGCGCGGGAGCCCTCTATGTCACCCTCAGACCTCGCGATATCCCCGGCAGCGAAGCTGCCGCAGTTCCTCCACCAACCTACGGTGAGGGAGGTATCTTCCGCCCACCACAGTTTCCCAGTGCCAAAAGCCGCGACGAACAGATCGCACAGCTGAAGCGCAGCGCTGGTGTCGTCTCACAGGTTGCTGAGAAGGCAAGGAGATGGATCGGTGGCAGCTCAACACCTGAGAAAGTGGAAGAGGACCCATACGACCTCCTGATTATCGGTGGTGGCGCAACAGGAGCAGGTATTGCTCTTGACGCCGTCACACGAGGCCTCAAGGTTGCGCTCGTCGAGCGCGACGACTTTAGCAGTGGTACGAGCAGTAAAAGTACCAAACTGGTACACGGCGGTGTACGATATCTTGAAAAGGCCGTTTGGAATCTCGACTACAACCAGTGAGTACTTTAACGATTTCTGCCATGTCCCTTACTAACCCGACCCCCAGATACGCACTTGTCGTCGAAGCTCTCCGCGAACGTCGCTACTTCTTGGATACTGCACCCCATCTCTCACAATGGCTTCCCATCATGATTCCTATCCAGAAGTGGTGGCAAGCGCCCTACTTCTGGGCTGGCACAAAGTTCTATGATTTCCTCGCCGGATCAGAGAACATTGAGTCCTCCTACTACATGACAAAGAGTAAGGCCTTGGACGCATTCCCTATGCTGAAGAAGGAAGGCCTTATCGGAGCTCTGGTATACTACGGTGCGTCATTCAACGGCTAATTTTGAAGTCAATCCCTGACGTGAACAGATGGTGCACACAACGATTCTCGCATGAACGTCTCGCTTGCTATGACTGCAGCACTCTATGGCGCTACTGTTGTCAACCATCTCGAAGTTACTGGCCTTGAGAAAGATGCCAATGGCCGTCTGTGTGGTGCAAAGGCAAAGGATCTCATTGAGGAGAGCAACGGTAAGAAGCCTCAGGAATTCTCCATCAGGGCCAAGGGCGTGATCAACGCCACTGGTCCTTTCACTGATTCTATCCGCAAAATGGACGACCAGGAGGTGCCAGAAATCGTTGCTCCCAGCTCTGGTGTCCACGTCATTCTCCCTGGTTACTACAGCCCTGCAAACATGGGTCTCATTGACCCCAACACTTCTGATGGCCGTGTCGTCTTCTTCCTGCCATGGCAAGGCAATACTATCGCCGGTACGACGGACACTGCTTGTGATATCAAGCAAAACCCCATTGCTGGTGAGGAAGAGATCGACTGGATTCTTAACGAGGTCAAGCGTTACCTACAGCCTGAAATCAACGTTCGCCGTGGTGACGTCCTCGCTGCTTGGTCGGGTATCCGTCCTTTGGTTCGCGACCCCAAGGCAAGCGCGACTGAAGGCCTTGTCCGCAACCACTTGGTCACCACCTCTCCCTCTGGTCTGTTGACCTGCTCAGGTGGAAAGTGGACGACTTACCGCCAAATGGCTGAGGAGACCGTCGACGAGGCAATTAAGGAATTCGGTCTAGCACCAAAGCCATTGGACAATCCCACTCTTATCAGCGGAACTCAGGTCAAGGACGAGGCTCCTCTCGATGGTACCTGCCAGACCCACCGTGTCCGCCTCGTTGGCGCTCACGGTTTCTCCAAGACTCTCTTCATCAACTTGATCCAGCACTATGGCATCGAGACCGATGTAGCCAAGTACTTGTGCCAGGCCTATGGTGACCGTGCCTGGACCGTTGCATCTCTTTCAGCACCCACTGAGCAGCGATTCCCTGTCCGTGGAATCAAGATGTCTGAGCTTTATCCCTACATTGATGGTGAGGTTCGCTACTGCGTTCGCCACGAGTACGCTCAGACTGCCACTGACGTAATTGCCCGCCGCATGCGTCTTGCTTTCTTGAACGCCCAAGCTGCTCTGGAGGCCCTTCCCAAGGTTATTGATATTATGGGCGAGGAGCTGAAGTGGGACAACAAGCGCAAGGAAGTTGAGTGGAAGAACGGTGTCACTTTCCTCGGCTCTATGGGACTTCCCAAGAGCAAGCTTTCTCTCACTCGTAAGGAGGTCGAGAGCGGTGCTGTAGGTAAATATGCCGACGAGGAGCATCACCTCTACGCACGACATGGTGAGTCTACCCCCGACGAAGAAGCTTGCGCGAACCTCTTTGCATTTGGGATCAGACTAAATGAGATACTTGCAGATAAACCCAGCGAGCCTCTCCCATCCGACAGCAAGTTCAAGTCTGGCGAGAACCCTGTCGTCAAGCGCGAATCCCAGGTTAACAAATAAGTTCCCTGGCATCTTCGACGTATCTTATCAACAAGACCTGTGATATCGCATCCATACATCGCTTCTATATTTTTATGATCCTAATCGGCGTGCGCGGCGTACTTGAGTCGGCATCCGTTTTGCTGGCGCTTGATACCATCCGTATGACTGGCTTCCTTTTTCCTGTCGCGCTCTGTACATCAATCATGTAGCTAGACTAGCGTGTCACTCGAAAGAAATGAGTAAACATTGTTTCGCTCTAGACATATTGGCTTTTGCTGAGTGTATGCACATTGGAGTCTCCATTTTCTGTAGACGTGTTCACCGCCAGTACTGTATGTAGTGTGCAGTGCTTAGAAGACTCCACATTGAGATGCAAGAGTAACCCCACCACCTAGAATTGCCTGACTCCACTTCCCGTAATCCGCAGTGACCCGCTCACATGGACTGAATGGCTGGCCAATGTTCTGGAATATCTAGCTTATTGACCATGGAGATGGAATTTGTTGGTTTGTAATTCTAATAACAACAGTAGAGAAGCGGGAGTTACTGTTTACAACGATCAACTGTGCTTGATTATCGTGAACTACAGTTCGTGGTGTACGGTGCCCACGCAGGCACGTGACTGACATTGAGGGGTTGTTGCCCTGGTATTGTGATCATTACGATGTGCTGATCTTTGCTACATTTTTGATTCTTTTCTTAAATCTTGTTTGGATTTGCATTTTTTTTCCCTTTTGTGGCGTAGGCCTATTAAGGGGCGTAGATCCGGCTAGACTTCGGGATAGTTCAGGATCGGCTCTGCCATTGGAATTCACTTGATTAGAAGGGCGTATGTGTGTGTGGCCACGACTGCTACCTAAGGCAGTTTTTGTGGTGTATTAAAAGCGGTCTTGTATAGCCGTGGATATAGGTTGTGGGAACACCTAATCCCTGCCACCACTACACACCACCAAAACTTCATTCGAAAGTGTAGCAATTGAACAGAAATTTCGTTCCGCTCTCTTGTTAGGTAAGCGGTTCTGACTAGAACTAAACCGTCTCCTCCGTTCGACCCGGTTGAACTGGCGCCCATAGCATATAGCATGGCAATTCACCCATCAAAACAGCCCTAGGAGTTCCATCTGTCATCTGAGATCGGGTCAGAGAAAAAGGCTCCAAAGACACAAACCAGATAGGCACTTGGCCTTGGTGGCGACCGCCTATCCACGATGTATATACTTCCGCTTCTCCTCTCCATCCATGCCGCTTCTACTGTTGCCTTTCCCTGGATAGGAAATCAGCCTGGTGTGAACCCCAGCATCTTCAGGAACGCTCATCCGGTCGAAAAGCGCCAGGAAAACTGTCCTTTCAATCCCGATCACAAGGGCGCTGCTCCATACACAGAGCCTTACACATACACGGGAGCAAAGAATGGCGCTCCTGGTAACCAAAGAGGCGGAATCAAAGTTCCAGCAGACGGCGATACTGCCCATGCTTACACCCCTCCTGGACCCAATGATATTCGTGGTCCATGTCCCGGTTTGAACGCACTCGCAAACGTAAGCAACTGTTGATACAGCTTTATTAGTTTGAACGCAGACTACTAACATTGCTCTAGCATAACTTTATTTCTCACGATGGAATCACAACCTTCCAAGAACTTGTCGACGCTCAGCAAAACGTCTTCAACGTCGGCTATGATTTATCCGTCGTTCATACCGTCCTGGGTATGCAAGCTGGCGGCGATTTTATTACTGGCCGTTTGAGTATCGCATGTGACGCTACGTCACGTACTGCGCTCCTGCCTGCTCTCGCCCGTCAGCCCGGTCTCAATGCACACAGCAAGTTTGAGGCTGATTCGTCACTCACGCGCAACGACTACTTCCTTGCAGATGGTGACAATTACAGCTTCAATGGTACGCTGTTTGCACAGATGAAGAGGGTCGCTGATGAAGTCTCTGGCGGAAAGTTTGACCGCAATGCCCTTGCCAAATACCGTAGTAACCGATACGACGACTCTGTATCCAATGTGAGTGCTCCACTTCGTATTTACTCCATCAAACACAACACTACTAATGTCTTCTAGAATCCAAACTTCCTTTTCAGTCCCTTGGCAATGATCCTCTACGGAGCCGCAGCCTTTCTTTACGAACTTTTCCCTAGCTACGGTAACAAAGGTATACCTGATCTCGAGACGATGAAGGCCTTCTTCGGTGCCGTCGAGGACCCTTCTGCACCAGGCGGCTGGCGCCATGTTCCCGAGCGTATCCCCGAAAACTGGTATTCGCGCGTCGAACCATACAGTGTTGTCGATGCCGCGACTGAGATCCTCGCCATGTATCTTCAGTACCCCAAGCTGTTCGGTGGAAACGTCGGTACTAGCAATTTCAACGCCCTTAGCACGCCGTTTGGTATCATCCGCGATGGAAAGCTACCGGATGAGGTGACGGTGAAGGATTTGATGTGTTTGCTGTACCAATTGGCTGTTAGTCCGGTGCCTGGTATGTTTGGTGCTGTGACTGATGTTACTGGTGCGGTCTTGAATTTTGCGACTTCGAAGCTGAATCCCGCGTTTAATAATACGGGATGTCCGTTTAGGGTCGGGTGAGTTTGGGATGGAGGTACGAGGAGCTGGATGGATGGATGGGTAATGCACGTGGTAGGCCTCAGCAATGTGATTGGATTTGCCTCTCTCATGCGATCGCAAGAGGAAAGAATGGTAGTGTTTATTCTTGAATTAGAATTCTGCATATATCTTATACCTTGCAACGATGTACTGCTGTTTTTTGCTTACACTCGAGTGATTTCCTGCTACGCCGTGTCGAAGTTAGGCAAACATGGAAGGAACCCTTGGTTGGGCTGTTCTCCTCTCAGCCTTCTCGCCCCGCTTTCCTTCTGTTCCGCCCCCATGACAACAAAACAAGCACTTATCTATCAAAGAGAGCATTCTTCAACAATCTACTGTTTCAGTCCTCCGACTGTTGTCTACCATGGATCCGCTCTCAGTGACTGCAAGTATCCTGACCCTTATCACGGTCGCGGGGTCGATTATACAGCATCTAGACCACATGAAATCTCGCATGGATCCTCAGGCTGAATTCATCGCAATTTTGAATACTGTATGCAGTATTTGATTCTTGGAAATTGGCTCATCTAACAGCCATAGTTAACGGATCTACAAACGACTCTGACCGTGGTGCGTGATGAAGATGATGCGTTGAGGAATAGCAAGACACCGGCGGCAAGGCTGGCCTACAACACCTTACCCGAAACAATTGGGAAACTGGAAACGTACTTGGACCAACTGACTCAGTTCGCCCATGCAAATCTGTTGAGGAATGGAAAGGGCTTGTCTCGCCTTGGGCTGAGTACACGACGAAAGAAAGAGTTGGCAGAGATTCGAGAAAAGATTTCAGATGCGCATCGGAATTTGCAATTAGTTCTCCTTTCAGTAAACCTGTAAGTTAGATCATACTTTGCGCCTAATGTTTATGAGCATGGCGAGAGCTAACCATTCCGTAGTCGCCGGAACCGGGAGTTGTTGTCAAGGATCGAGGAGGTTGCAATTGTGCACAGCAAAAACCATGCTGAGACTTCTGCCTCGCTGAACCGCATATCTGACCAACTAAAATCAGTCAGAATTCATGAAGAAAATGACTTGGAAACCTACCAATGTCCTCAAGAAAATATCAGATCCATTCTGGTACAGTCAGTGTACGACAACAGTAATGAACCATCGACTCAACTTCGCATAACAACCAACTTGCCTACGAAAGCGTGTGAATGGATTTGCAATTGCCAATGCCACGTCCGAACCCAATATCAAACTCCACAATGGCTTTCAGCAACTATCGGTACGCTATTCTACTCTTCTACAAGCACGCCCTCACTGGATGTTCGGCCCTGCAATGTTCCGTCTTGCTCACGATCTCATCCCTCATCGTCATCTAGAGTAACATATTACTTCCCTACCTGGATGCTGCGTACCGCCCTGGTATTCTCCACGTGGAGTAATCCCAAAGGCAAAAACTCTTCATGGGTCGTCAAAGTGCTGAGGGAAATACCATATAATGACCCTGTTTGGAACTATGTTTATCAAGGAGATATAGATGCGATTAAGGGACTTTTGGAGAACCGGGAGGTTTCGCCGTACGATATTGCGCCGGATGGAAGCTCTATCTTGCATGTAAGGGGAATTGCATAGTAGCTTTTAACAATAATGAATGTCACTCACTAACACCTAACACAGTGGGCAAGGAATGACTGGCATCTCGAAATCTGTTCATTCCTCACAGCCATGGGAGCAGATTGGGATTTTAAGGACAGATCGGGAAGGTAAAAGGCGCTACCGGTCCTGGCTTGGTACGATAGTTAACTAACAACGATGCATAGATCAGCATCCGACACAGCGTGGGCTGAAATTCTACTAAATCGCAGATACAATGCCGGTGTGGTCAAACTACGCGACCTTATCTGGCCAGAAGATTCTTACGATCTACATCTCAGCCCCCTCCATCGCATAATAGGCGGGTTATCCGCTGTGGATCTCGAATCGTAAATCGATCTCGACCCTTTACGAATTGAAGATCGAGACTGGCTAGGCGCAACACCTCTCATGTGGGCATCTCGCATTGGCAATTCCGCTCATGTCAACATAATGCTCTCGCGCGGCGCGAAGACCGAAGCAAGAGATTCAGTAGGCCAAACCGCGCTGCACTATGCTGTTGAAGGCGGCTCACTGAGATGCATCAAGGCGCTTTTAGAAGCGGGAGCTGACGCCCAAGCTGTTGCTAATTATGGTCTTACCCCCCTTCACCATGTCCTTTACTTCACCGACAACTGCAAGGTTGAGGATATCATCTCGTGTCTGTGTGCTCATGGCGCGAATCTCGACGCGCGCGACAACTTGGGTTACACGCCTTTACATTTCGCTGTGGAATTGGGATCGCATATAAGTGCTGAAGCATTCATCAGATGCGGTGCTGGTGTGAATTCTTTGGGTAGAAATGATGATCCGCCGATCGAACGAGCGATTCTGAATGGCTTTGAGGATATAGTGAAGCTCCTTTTTCAGGCTGGAACGATGGTGTCGTGGATAGATTGTTATGGAAATGAGAGAGATGTTGTCTCGGATGCAATATTGTGTGGGACGGTGAGGGTGATGGATGCGATATCGCAGTCTGATATTGCACCTGTGAAATGCAATGTTACTCAATCTCAACTATGGCACTGGTTTGAGGAGCGACAGGATAAGAATTTGGATGATTATAGTCCAGCTCAGAAGCGGGCAGCTTTTGAGCGGCTTCTTGAGAAGGCGGTTCCACTGGATTCTGACGTGGATGTGGATTCGCTGGTTGATGTAGAAGATGAATGACTGGGATGAGAAGCAGAACTATGCTACGAAGCTATGTCTAGTTGGTTAAGATCATACTTTTGCTCATAATAAGTGTAGCTGGGTCGTATATCACTATCTCAATGAAAAAAAACGACTACCATCAAGACTTTGGAAAGAAAGAAATCTCTCCTCTCCCCCATCTCCACTCAACCAATTCTACAAGTTCAACCCACCCTTCCTCTCCCTTTCCTGACAAAACCTCTCTAAAATCTCTCATACATAACCCCATGTCCCACTTCTTCCCTTCCCCAAGCCAACAAGTTTCAGCAACGCCACACAACATCCACCCACCCACATACGCGCATCCACAAACCTCCCACCTGCACCGTCCGCGCGTGCATGAAGCAGAATGAGGAAAAGCTCAAAAGCATGACATTTACAAGCGCCTAGAAATCGGATCGGCAAAAACAGAACAAAAGGCGGCCTTTGCATGCATGGCCCTGTGTATGCGAATCAAGAAAAAGCCCAGGACCGGATTCCAGGGCGCTGGAACCGAAATAGGGTACATGGCGGGGGAGGGGAGGTAGAGTGTTTTACACTATGTGGGTTGGTAGTGCAGTGCGCTAGAGAGAGAGGGGGGTGTATGGTACGTAGCGTATGTGGATTTAGCTATGTAAGAGAAAGGGTGAGAAAAGGGCTGAATGCTGTGTTTTCCAGAAGCATAACCGACGTCTGAGTGAGAAAGAGGAAAGAGGAAAAACACGCAGAAGATGCTGATGACAATGACGTACGACGTCCCAGCTTCCCCACTCTGTTTTAGATTGTTTGGCAGAGACGAAGCTTTTGCCAACAGCGACGTGGCATGCGCTTCTGGCAGGCGGTTGAGTATTTGAATGTGGCATGGAGGAGGGTGGCGAGGCGGGGTGAATGGTCAGGTGTCGGATGGAGAGGGGACGGAGTATGTGACTAGACAAAGTGATACTGCTTCGGCTGTGTGCGTGTCAGAAGCAGAGTGCAAGATGCGATCTGTTGGGGCCGAAAGGGCTAACTTTGCTGTTACTACTACGGCTACGGCTACGGCTGCGGGTGAGAATGCAATGCAATGCGCTGCCATGCAATGCGGCACGAGCCGTAGCTTGGTCGTTTTTTTAACCGCAGCTTAGTGCATGGGGGAGAGGGGTTCTTCGTTCAACCACATTTGTGTCGCTTGTCACGTTTAAGGTGCAGTGAGCAAAAAGATAGTGTAGGGGAGGAAAGCAGTGTCAGCTATTAGCAAACTCTCCCCACCTCTCCTCTATCACTGCTGTTTTCTACATCCTCACACGAAGAATATCCAATGACTGCGCATACCATTCATAAATACGAAACTGCGCCTCCCCCCTCTCTTCTCTTCTTTTTTGCCACCATGCACCTAGGTCTAGTATGCATTGCATGCATGCCCAGACATGCAGCTCGCCTCCAGCCCCGCCCAAAGATAGAATGACAGATATGACTTCCATATGCACAAAGTCCCGAGACTCATCTCTTTTTTACCATGTTCACGGGCGCATGCGTATACGTATGCAACAAATGTCTCAGGTAAATCTCGCTATAAAAAAAAGCTGTTCGTCATCAGACCTGCATATGAGCCCTTCAATCTCGGATCGAGAAAATAACCCCACCACAGTTCGAGACCATGTAACCCAGGACGTCGTCTTTTGAGGTACCGCAACACAAGCAGGGCAGGGCAGAAAGTTGGTCGTAGCTGTCAGATGGTGAAGGATACTCAGCACTCAGTCAAATGCTGCACTCACGTCACAACCAAGACTTTCTCCCTTCCTTGCAACATACACATACACATACACACGACGATACACACACCCAGCAGTGTCTCCTCCCTCATCCCCCAACACGACCATATAATCCCCTTACCTACCACATGCCCTCCGCGCCCGCCTCCGCGCCCGTCATGATACCCACCATCAAGCCACCACCATCACACGTAAGACAAGGAAAACCCCCACCCACCACCATCGCTTCGGCTTCCCCATGTTTGCACTACCCATCCCTCGTCGCACACATGCAGCCCCTTGCAGTACAGTATACTTGCCCTCTTCCCC